TGCTTGATCCCTTAGCTCCCAGTCAGCCACTATTTAAGCAATTAAGATTACGTTTAACCTCTGTGGGTCTGGGTCTAGGCATTAGCAGTGCATCATTTCTATAAAGCTCAACTACTGGAAGGAGGATTGGAAACGATGTAGGTTGTCTGGATTTTGTAAGCTATTAGACAGGAAAGGCGTGATCGGAAAGTTATCGAGACCTGGCTTTGGAATGTGTGTCATTCGACGCAATCCCAGTGCTGCCTTTTCCTGCAGAGGCCCTTTCCCACTCGTATGACATTGTTATTGAGTGAAAACTGATGTCCGTGTAAAAGACAGGATCTTTGTAAAGAAAAAGATAACTTCCTGTGTTGCTGGGGTGGGAAGGCAAGGAGCAAACGACTGATGGCTGCTCCTCCACACTTTGTCACTGTATATGCTCTGGTAGAGTGTAACTGAGCCGGGCTTAATGGGGAGACTGGAGGGGACTGGTGGCACTGGGACCCAGTGACACATCTACTGAAGGGCTTTGAATGGACTAGTGGAAGACTTGGGGGAATTGCTTGCCAAAGCACTAGTATGGGCTGTGCTAGCAGACTGCAGATGAGGGTGACTCTGGCCTCTTGAGAAGTGCCTCAGAGGACCCCAGTACTGCCTAGAAAGACTAGCGGCTTTGCTCTTGATGATAAAGTCTGTAGGCATGAGCTCTGAACCAGCATTGGTGTCATCTGGAAACGTGTGAGCACTGCACCATCACACTAGGGAGAAGCATAAGACCTAGACCAGAATCTGCATTCTAGGAAGAACATTAAAGTTCAGGAAGCACTGATCTGTAATAAAGGGTCAGAAAATTTTGCACAAAGAGCTAAGCAAAATCTCCAGGAAATCAAGAAATCCATGTTTGACTAATCTGATAGTTTTTTTTAAGGTTATTAATATATAGAGGGCCAGAGGTTAACAATTCTCTCTTTTTCGTTTTTTTTTGTTTTTTTTTTGTCTTTTTGAGACATGGTCTTGCTATGCAGTTCAGGCTGGCCTTGAGCTCACTTTGTAACCCAGGCTGGTCTCCAACTCGCGACGATCCTCCTGCCTCAGCCTCCCGAGTGCTGGGATTACAGGCATGCACATATCACATATTACACAGCTGTGCTGAGGTATAATATACACAGTTACATATTATCACATATTGCACAGTTCAGCCATGTAGAGTGTACAATTCAATCTGTCACCTCAGCCAGTTATAGGACACTTTTACGATCTCAAAAGAAACCTAGTAGGCAGAGGACGGAGATTTTTAATTCAGTGTAACTATTCGGTGTGATCCTATAATAATGGATGTGTGTCATTACACATTTGTCAAAACCCATACGATGTCTGTGTTAGCCTTCCATTCCTGTGACAAAATTCCTGACGAGTCAGCTTACAGGAGGAAAGTTCTATGTATCCTCGTAGTTACAGAGGTTGGGCTCACGGCCACTGGCCTTTCTCCTGTGGGGCTGTGGCAGGCTGGGTGGTTCACATAGCAGAGAGCACAGGCGGAGGAAACTGTCCACCTCATGTCAGCCGGGAAGGAGAGAAGGGGAAAGAAAAGGGAGAGAGAGGGCCACGAGAGAAAGAGGGCAGGGAGAGGAAGAGGAAGAGGAAGGGTATAAAAAAGGGGGGGAAGAGACGGGAAGGAGAGAAGGAAACGGGAAGAAAAGGGCCTGGTCTCCATATCCCCTTCCGGGGCTCGCCCTCCGCGACTTAACTTCCTTCTACCAGGCCCGTCTTCTGCAGCTCTGTCACCTACCAGTCGTGTCACAGGCTGGCAACCAAGCCTCTGCATAGGGAGCTTTCGGCAGCACTTAGGATCCAAACCAGGATATTCTGCCTCTGGTCCCCAAAGGCTTACTCCCTTTCACAAAACAAAATGCGTTAGTCCTTCTCCAGGAGCCCCCAGCATCTTCATTACTGCAGTATTGCTAAAAAATCCAGCTCCAAAGATTCAGACTTTGGGACTCATGGCCAACTCTTAGCCATGAGCCTCTGTAAAAATAAAAAAATAACCAAGTTAGTACTTCCAAGATACAGTGGCGGAGGGTAAGCATTCCCACTCCAAAAGGGAGGAATAGGGGTAAAGACAAGAAGGACAGGGTAAAGCAGGGGCAAACATTAAGTCTGCAGCTTTGTGTCTAGCAGACGGGGCACATGGTGGTAATACACGAGCTCCAGGAGCTTAGGCAGCGGCCACTGTCGTGGGCCAGTTAACTGCTCTTTTCCCAGGAGGCATTGCCTATTTCTAGCATCTCTGACTTTGTGGTATTGTGTCTGCGCTGCAGCTCCAGCCCCACTGTCAGAGTTCCATGCAGCACCCTGTCAGGGGCTCCTTGCAGGGACTTCATCCCTGTACACACTGCCTGTCCTAGACTTTCCTTTGAACTCTCTGTGGAGGCTTGTATGGCTTTTGCATTAACTTTTGCATTCTCAATACCAGCAAAACCAACAGCATGTAGAAAAGACCAAGGTCTTCTACAGGAGCTGTACCTGGACCCACTTGAACCATGGCCGTAGCAGCCTCTGAGTATCCTGACTGCTTAACGTGGAAAAACAAATCCTGAGAAACAATTCACTAGGTGGTCCTGTGTAAGCAGTGTATCCTGAGTCTCTCTTCTCAAATGAAGGGTTATACTTTTATACCTTTGAGCCTGTGGTAGATGGAGTACTGCTGATTCCTGAGATGCCCTGAGACATCTTTCCTATTACCCTGGTGCAGAACACTTGACTTCTTTTTAATGGTATTAATTTCCTTAACAACTGCATTCTCCTTTGTGGCTATTTTACTTTTTATTTTTATTTTTATTTTTTTGTGGCTATTTTAAATGGGCTCCTTTTTTAGTCAAACTACAAGTTTTTCAAATCTGTCTGCTGTTTTTTTGCTTCTGATTTTCACTGTACATCTGACTAAAAGCAGCTAGCAATACTGATGCTCTGCCTAAATACTTTGCTGCCCTGAGATTTCCTTCACCAGATAAACTAGTCCAGTGATGGCAAACCTTTTAGAGTTTTCAGTGATACAAATAGCCTGCTGCAGCATGTGTGCCACTTATTCACCACCACTGAACTAGTCAGTCAGCTTTATTTATTTATTCATTTTTTGGTACCGGGAATTGAGCTCAGGACCTTGTACTTGCCAGGCAGGTGCTTGTGCCACTGAGCTATATCCCCGCCCAGTCAGCTTTAAACTCAGCATTACACAAAGTCTCAGAGAAGGAAAAAAATGTGGACAAGTTCTTTGCCAGAGTGTACCATGAATGGTCTCTATTCTAGTTCCTGGTGGAGTCCTCATTTCTTTCTGAAACTTCATGAGCCTGTCCTTTACTGTCCACATTCCTGTCAACATTCTAGGTTAGGAGAGCCTTCACCAGAATCACCTTTTAAATTCTACTTCTAGCATTCTGGGCTTTCTCTCACCTATTTCTTCAAACTTTTTTTTTTTTTTTTTTGTCCTTTTGAGACAGGGTCTTGATATGCAGCTCAGGCTGGCCTTCAGCTCACTTTGTAGACCAGGCTGGTCTTGAACTCGCAATGATCCTCCTGCCTCAGCCTCCTGAGTGCTGGGATTGCAGGTGTGCACCACCACTGGCTATTTCTTCAAACTTTTCCAAGCTTCTCTGGGAAGCTGGTTCCAAAGGCTTCATCAAGTATAGTTATGGCGACAGTGACACTTCTCAGTACTAATTTTCTGTGTTAGACAGCTTTGCATTGTTGTGACAACATACCTGAGAAAATCAGCTCAGAGGAGGAAAGGTAGTTTGACTCACAGTCTCAGTCCATGTTTGCTTGGCCCTGTTGCCCTTGGGCCTGGGGCAGGAAATACATGGCAGAGGAAACTTCTCACCACATGGTGACCAGGAAGCAGAGAAAGAGAAGGGGCCAGGGACCTGATGTCTTCTTCCAGGGCTTGTTCTCAGTGACCTAGCTTCCTTCTACTACGCCGTATCTCCTAAATAGTGCCACAGGCTGGCAACCAAGTCTTTACCATACGTGCCTTTGGGAGATATCGAAGATCCAGACTGGAACAATGGGCAGCACCAGGAGTGAACCCTCAGTGGACTTCAAGTGATGATGCATCAATGTAGGTTCGTCCATTGTGTGTAGCATTGGGGCAGAGTGTTTATTGTGGGAGAGCTGTGCATGGGTAGGATAAGGGCATATATGGGAGCTGTCTGTTTTACATTCAGTTTTGCTGTGAACCTAAAACTGCTGTAAAAGTGGTGTACTGAAAAAGAAAGAGGGCTGGAGATGTGGCTCAGTTGTAGAGCACTTGCCTAGCATACGGGAGGCCCTGGGTTCATCCCCAGTACGCCCAAAAGGCAAAGAAAGCAAGCCCATACCCTTCATCTGTCACTCCCCTACCCCACATCCCACCGACTCCTAACAACTACTCTTCCGAATATTTTTGTATTTCTTTTGCATTGTACGAGTACTTGGCAAGGTGCCAGGTGTATCATTAATAATAGTTCCACTTATTAAGAGCTCAATATGTGTAAATAACTGCATCCTCTAATTTAATCCTCGTGTCAACTGTAGCTAAGGGTAGTAACTTATTTATTTTTTATTTTTTTGATACTGGGAATCGAACTTGCACTTGCCAGGCAGCTGCTTGTGCCGGTGAGCTATATCCCTGGCCCAGTAACTTAAACTAGGTTAAATGACTTAGAACATAGCCAGTACTAGGTGAAACTGGGCTTTTATCCTAGGCCTCTAATTCTATAACTTAAACTTTTATACCATAAAATATATTGTGAACTGGATTTTTGAAGCTATGAGAGATTTTACCAAAGTGCTTAAAAATGTAGTAGAAATGTTCAAGTTGTGTGGGAGTGCCAGCTTGCTCATGAAATTTGCTACGTGCTCCACACTCAATAATAAACACCCCAGAATTATGAATCTTTGTGCTTTTTTTTTTTTCTTTTTTTTTGGTTTTCATGAGACAGGGTCTCACTAGGTAGTTCAGGCTGGCCTTGAAATCACTGGGTAGCCTGGAGTGGCTTCAAATGTGCAGCAATCCTCCTGCCTCATCCTCCCAAGTGCTGGTATTACAGGTGTGTAGAGCACTCCCAACTGTTTGTGCTTTCATCTGTATACTAGTCTTTCATTAAAATTTGTGTTTTGTCTTAGTAACTCCAATATCAAGTTTTGCTTTTATCATCGATGAATTTTCTACAATTGTAGAAAATATTATAATCCCTATTTATAGTAGTATACCTTAGTTTTGGACATCTTGGTACTTCATTGGACATTTAAGCTTTGTTTAAGTTCTTTCGTTTTTTATAATTCTAAAAATAACAGAATATTATACAGTTATGTAAAAAGAGGTAGTATAAATATGTCAGTATACATACAACTTAAATTTTGGAGATGCTACAGAGCAGTATGTGGACCATGACCCTCTGTGTGTAAAACATATATGTGTTTTATCCATTAAAGAAACTACCAAGAGTTTGATTGTGAGGATAAGAAAGAACTTTGTACATACCTTTAGTCCTGTGTGAGTGTTTTCCCTTTATTAATGTCTCTCACTCCAATCTTTGGTTTTTTGTTGGTTTGCTTTTACGGTGCTGGGGATCGAACCCAGGCAAACTGGCCTCCCCCACGCAGCCCTCGCTCTCCCGTCTGGTACCCGCACCTTTGGGGTTGTTTCCCTCTCACTTCTCTTTTTTTTAGCCTCTTTGTGATTCTCTCTACACCTTTCTCCAAGCTCATACCCACAGATACATATAGGGGTGATGGGGGTCAGTACTGTATAGAAACAGGAGTGCTGTGAATCTCTCTCGAACTTGCTTTTTCACTGCGGATATTATGAACGTAGTATGCAGCTACTGTTTGAGTCGCTACATATTAGGTAGGCCCCTTATTGGTGTTACCGCTTATTTTTTTGCTGTAGCAACGCTGTAGTGAATGTCCTTATGAATGTATATTTGTGCTTTCATGTAATCTCTATGTAGGATATGACTCAGAGGATCCTATTTTTTCCCCACTGCTGGGGATCAAACCCAGGGCCTCCAGCATGCCAGGCAAGTGCTCTACCTTGGAGCTGCACCCGACCAGTCCCCTCACTGAATTTTTAAAAAAAGATTGGGGAGGACCAAAATGGATGATGGATATTGGGAAATAGGAAGAAAACGTTCAAATGGGAAGGGGACGGAGGAAAGGGGGTGGGGAGGAAGGGAAAGGGGGAAAAAAAAGAATAGAAAGGAAAAAGTGGAAACAGCTTTTGTAAATAAGAAGGAGAAGACAGGCTGAAGGGAGGGGCCGGGAATGGGGGGAAAAAGAAGAATCAAGATACTTACAAGTACAAATTCCCTATGAGTGTGATCATTATGTATATCTAATGTGTACCAATCAAATCAATTTTTTATAAAAAGATCAGTGAATTTCTAGTGATACTGTGGTAAGGGTAGGGAGTAAAACCTTTTTAAAAAGAATACCAGTTAGTTCAGAAGGAATGACAGCATTTTTAAAAATTCACCATTTCCACCTACAGTGTAATTATGTAAAATGAAACAGGCAGGGCCCACTGTGGAGGCCAGAACCTGCAGGTGAGGTGGTTGGGCTCCTCACGCAGGGGCGCAGACTGATTTCTTACCAGTAACGGGGCCGGGCGGTGGGCGGAGGGCATATTTACAGTAGAAATCACGCAGCTACCTCTTAACCAGATGACCAAGTGCAGCGTCGGTGACGGAACTCTTGGATGCAGTGAGGCAACCCATTCTCTTATGAAGTGTTTCCGAAATCTTTAGCTTGCATTTAATGACTCTTTCTGTTCATCTGTAAGCATAAGGATTGCTTCCTGTAGAGAGGACGACAGACGATTCTACTGTTACGACCTTAGGGAGGCTCATTAGTGTCTTCTCAGCCTCAGGGCCCTCAAGTGTACATCAGTGACATTGAATCAGATAAATGTATGATGATAACCTAGCAAGAATGTATTTCGTTAGTACTGGGAATCAAACTCAGGACCTTGCGCTTGCCAGGCAGGCGCTTGTGCTGCTGAGCTACATCCCCGGCCCTAACCTAGTAAGAACGTAACACCAGTTCCTCCCCGCTCTTGTTCATGGCCACCAAGTATATTTTGGGGGGGGAGGAGGGTGGTTTCCGGTACCAGGAACTGCACTCATGACCTTGCGCTTGCCAGGCAGGCGCTGTGCCGCTGAGCTAAATCCCCAGCCCCCCACCAAGTATATAGCTAAATAAAAAGCTACATTTTTCTTTTTCACATCTAATTTCCTTACCTGATTATTCTGTGTAACTTGATTGTATCTTGTGGATTGCCTATACTCGCTTAGATCTGTAAGCAAAGGAAACCACCAAATATGCCAGAAAGCCCTCCATCCAAAATGTTCAAGGGACCCTCTAGGTGGGAGAATACAGATTAGAACATCTCCAGACTCACTCAACCAAGTTTTGGTTGACTTGCGTGAAATTACCAACTTTATAGATCAGAAATGGTCAAATATTAGCAGTTCGCGTGGTTCATCCTAACGTGTGGGTAGGCTGACAGAGGCTTAGCATGTGATCTTCACTTGTCAGGCAGGCTCTTTTAGTCTTCCTTACGGTTTTAGACAAAGGTTTTCTTGAGGAGGAGAGCGGAAGACCTGTGCTGCCTCAGGTTTGAAGGGAATGGGGTTTGGGGCCGTAAATGCTTAAGGGCGTTTCTCCCCGTCATGCTTTCCCCGTCACGCTCTCCCCGCTGCAGTGGGCCGTCCCCGTGTGACAAGTTCGCTCCAGTGTCTTCTCACCTTTTTTGCCTTTTCTTCCCAGGAGTGGGAAGTGAGAGCACAAGGAAAGAAAATTATTCTAGCCCTTCTTTTCCTTCCCTTTGGACTCCAGATTGGTCTTTTTAGATAGATAATTGCAGAACCTTGAAAACTTGAGGGAAAATAATTTATTTCAAGTTCCAGATGGTTTTCTTCTAAAATAATAATACACCTTTTTTTTCCAGCTTAGTAGAATATAGAAAGTAACAGGATGAGAGATTTCAAGTGCTTGGGTCTCCCCCCCCCTCCTTCTTTCCTCCCTCCATTCCCTCCCTTCCCTCCCCCTCCTTCTCCCCTCCCCTTCCCCTTCCTCCCTTTTGTAGAGCATTGACAACACACACGGGAGACTGGGAAGCGGAATCTGGGGCTGTGAGGGCGGGGTGACGTTCTTATGTGGTTGCAGGAATCCTCCAGGCTATGGCCCCTATCACAAGGGCCACGGTTGTTGATCCTGTGAGAAAGTGACCCGTCTTCCTCCCCGCATGAGTGCTGGACTACATGTGTAGTTTGAGTATTTCCAGGCCATCTTTTGAGTTCCCAAAACAAGAAATCAATCCATTAGAAGACTTACCCTTTTGACAAGCTGTGATCAAACTTGTATATATAAATAGCTTTATTAAAAGACACATTATTGCCATTTTGAAAGTTATTGTTCACGTCCTAGACAGTTGCCCAGGAAGCCATCCTGCACGCGTCCGGAAGTGGCCCGTCCTCGCCGTCTAAGGACTACTGCATGCTGTACAACCCGCGTTGGAAGGAGCTTCCAAGTACCCTAGAAAATGCGGTAAGTAAAGCTCAGCTGGCATTTATTTATAAAAACTAGTATATCAGAAAGGTGAGAAGGAGTGATAATTAGGTTTTAGGTGTGAACTAGTTTTGATATATGGTGATTAATAATTATTATTTTATTGATAACGTACTTTTCTATGAGAAAAGCATGTTTGGGAATATTTATTTATGTATTTATTTATTTTTAGGTAGATCAAGCTGGTCTTGAATTCACAATGTAGCCTAGGCTAGCCTGCAACTCAGCAATCCTCCTGCCTCAGCTTCCCGCGTACTGTGATTATAGGCATGTACCACCATGCCTGGCATGTTAGAGAATTTTTATTTTTATTTTTATTTATTTATTTTTTTTTTGGTTTTTCACCGGTACCGGGAACCGAACTCACGACGTTGCGCTTGCCAGGCAGGCGCTTTGCCGCTGAGCTAAATCCCCAGCCCCGAGAATTTTTAAATACTACCTCTAAGCTTGGTTGTTTGTCATAAAAATAACTGTGTTTTCTTTTTTCTCTTTCTGTGTGTGTGTGTGTGTGTGTGTGTGTGTGTGTATGCACTTATGTACTGGAGATTGAACCCAGGGTCTCGCATATACCAGGCAAGAGCCCTACCATTTAGCTACATTCCCAGCCTTTCCCCCTTTAAATTTATTTGAGATAGGGTCTTGCGGAGTTGCCCAGGCTGGCCTCAAACCTGCAATCCTGCTGCCTTGGCCACCTCAGTAGTGGGATTACAGATGTGCACCACCACACCCCCCATCATAAATTTCTAATGTAAAAGAAAATTAATTTTAGTTTTGGTCCCAGGCCCCCTTCTACAGTGAGCATGTGCTGTACCACTGAACTATACCCCCAGCCCCTAAAAGAACATTTTATTAAGCCAGTATGGGTGCCTTGTTACTGAGCATATTTAGGAGAAATACGATCTTTGTTACATTAGAGATACTTCTTATTTCCAGACTTCCTTGGGTTTGATGAACCTGACTACAACACCCCTATGCAACCTTTCTGAAATTCCTCCCGATGGCATAAAGAGCAAAGCCGTCGTCGTGCGGTGGGGACCCTGCCATTTCCTGCAGAAAGCCAGTGTCGCCCAGGCGGGAGGTGCTGAAGCCTTGCTGGTGGCCAATGACAGTGTTGTGGTGAGTGACGAAACTGAAGCGCTTTCAAAGTCACGACGTCGGATTTCTCAGGAATTGAATTAATGTCTCTGTGTGTGGCTGAGGGGCTCAGTTTGGAACAGCCTGATGGAGGCTCCCTTGCCAGTAGCATTTCGGAGGGGTTTCAATTGGAAAACTTTGTTGTTTTTGCCCTATTTAAAGAAAACCTTGTTAGGAGCAAACATACACGTATACGTGTATGGTAGGTTTGTGTGAACAGCGTGTGCGGTATACGATGCCACCTACGGAATACGTCAGCTTGTGTTTAAGGAATTCCACCTGAGAATTTATAAACTATAAAGGAAAAATACCTGCAACTTGGCTATATAACTTGAAGAAGACTACAGTGTATATACTTAATAGAATAGTTTGTATTTCTTTTATTCTGTGACTATGTGTGTAAAGGCCTGGCATCGTGGCACATGCCTGTAATCCCAGTACTCTGGAGGCTGAGGCAGGAGAATCTTTGTGAGTTCAAGACCAGCCTGGGCTACAGAGCGAGCTCAAGGCCAGCCTGAACTGCATAGGAGACCCTGTCCCAAAAAGACAAAAAAAAAATGTATATACACTGTATTATATAATAAGGTTTCATGATACATTTATTTTTCTCTTAGTTTCCTTCTTCCTGGAACATATCTGCATTTCCTGATAGGAAAATACTAATTGCATTTATAAATCACAAAGACTTTAGAGACATGGAGCAGGTAAGGCTGTTTTTGCGTGTGTTTGTGGAGTGCACCTTTACCGTTCATGCTTAGTCTTGGTTATTATATATGTTCTATTTGCTGTTGAGGAGCTTAAATTCTTTGGGAAGTTGCTCTCATTTGGTACAGTGACATGCTGGACTCTACACAGCACGTTTATTTATTTTGAGTTCCTTTAAAATCTCTTGTGTCGTGTTTCATATCTGTCGTACACCCTGAACAAAATGTGATGGTGGGGTACGCTGAGCTCTCGAGGTGTTACATTCCAAAGCGTGCGCTTTGCCTAGAGAATTCCCTGGGCAGTCGGGGCTTCTTTACTGCCCGTTGGGTAGTGTCCTGCCCAGAGTGAAATGCCAGCTGCTTCGGGCAAGCTCCGGTAAACTCCCGCCTGTGTCTCACTGCCCGCTCTCCCTGCAGACTCTGGGAAGTAACATCACCGTGAAAATGTATTCTCCGTCCTGGCCCAACTTTGACTACACCATGGTGGTTATTTTTGTAATTGCTGTGTTCACGGTGGCATTAGGAGGCTATTGGAGTGGCCAAATTGAACTGTGAGTGTAATTAAACTTCTGTGTTTTGTGATAAATGGTTAAAAGCATTGTTTTATAATCATCATAATCATTTATGACATTTTAAAATTGTAGCTAGCCTCAGCATATAATGCCAACAAGACCAAAATTTAAAAAGAAAAGGAGTGTCTGCTAGTGGCCCGTCATCCAGCGCTAGAGTTTCAGGGGACATGCTTGTGTGTCTCTACACAACTTCCCCCTGCCCATCCCCGGGCCCCCCCCTCACGGGCCAGCCAGCCCCGGCAGTATTCCCCAGCGAGACCAGTGGTGTGGGAGCAGAGGAGCAGTGGAGAGAAATAAACTTTTTGTTTTTGAGACAGGGTCCTGCTGTGTAGTTCAGGTTGGCTTCAAATTTGCAGTGATCCTCCTGCCCCAGCCTCCTGAGCGCTGGGACTATGGGCAAGCACCACCACACCCAGCTGTATAGTACATTACTTTTGTAATAAGAAATAAATTTAAATTGGTGTTAAAGGTAGATTTGGGGGGTTGTTATTTGTCTTTGAGACAGAGTGTCGTGGTGCACACCTGTTATTCTAACACATGGGAGGCTGAGACAGGAGAATCACCATGAATTCCAGGCCAACCTACCATACTTGTGAGACCCTGTCTTGAAAAACAAAAATAAAATAAAATTAGCTAAGTTGCACAGGCTGGGCTCGAAATTGTAGTCCTCCTGCCTCAGAGTGCTGGGATGACAGGTGTGTGCTACCACATCTGACTTGCAGGTAGATTTTTAAAAGAACTGCACGTGGTGGAGATTTGGTAAAGTTCCTGCATGTGTCTATGCAGGGAAAGCATGAAGGCAGTGACGGATACTGAAGACAGAGAAATGAAGAAGAAAGAGGAGTACTTAACCTTCAGCCCTCTCACGGTTGTGATATTTGTGGTCATCTGCTGTGTTATGATGGTCCTGCTCTATTTCTTCTACAAGTGGTTGGGTAAGAAGCCATGGCTTACGTTTGCTCCTTTTAGTGTACATTCTTTTCACTTACTTTGAAGTATCTTTTCCGTCAAAGCTTTCGTTCTACCTGGAATATTTAAGTAAATAATTTGGTGAAGTTGCCAGAAGTATGAAGTCTCCGTTACTCTGAGATTTAAAAATAAAATCTGATTAAAACTGTACTGTGTTTTGAGATAGGAACACTCACTCACGGGTGACTTGAGAGAACGACCTTGGCCCCCAGATATCCCACTGCGCTGACAAGCAGCGATAGCCCGGCCTCGAAGCTGCAGCGCGAGGACTTTTGATGGCTATATTTAGTTGCGTGAGATAAAAGTTGATTCAAGTTACTGATTTATGGTTCTCCTTAACCCCAAAGTATATTTCATCCTCTTGTCTGTTTACAAATCAAGATGTTGTATTGCTTGGGTTTTGTTCTCCTTGTGCAAGCACTTAGCATCATACTGTCTGTGAAGACACACAGGTAGCTGCCTGCAGTCTAGACAGCAACGGATTCTTTTTCCCTTTAGACGCCAGAGACAGGAACTGCACCTCGAGACAGCCTGATGAGTGTCCTGACAGGGTGGAGATTTGCTGTCCCTGGCATGAACAGGAGGGAGACCAGGGACAGGCAGAGTGCACCTTGTGAGAATTAGCAAAAACCCTCTGTAAAAACCACTAACGGCTACAGTGTTTGTTTGGAGCACGTTACCATAAATCTCTGGACAAGAAAACAAAAGCCCTAGGATGTGTTTCAGCTTACTGTTCAGTTTCTCCTGTCCTGTGGCAGAACCTTGCAAACTGGATCTATGCGTATTCCCAAGCTTTCAGTTATGCGGTATCGCTCACTTCCGTCTGCGGCTGAGTGGGACGGTATTTGTGTGATGCTAGCGTCCAGCAACTGATTCGGAGTTGCGTAGTCAGCCTTCAGTTATTCGGCCTGGATTAGGTGATAGGTTCTGTCTTTCACAGAAGTCCTCCACCTTATCCTAAAGCATATTTTAATTTTTGATGCACTATTTCCTCAAATATATTGTTATTTAAAAGGTTGATGCTCTTTATAAATGTAATTTTTGCTATAAGAAGATCAGACACCCTCACAGTGATCCCAGGACAGAAGATTTAGTTATGACGCTGGCAAAACTTGCTGTGGTGTGGCAAGATTTTGTTTCCTCAGAATGGTTCCTCTGGCTGGCCCTGCTGCCGGCCTTAATGTGTTCACTAATCGTTAAGGCTCCTTTGCTACTTCGTGGCTGGGAAAGTAACGAGGAGCACGGCTGCTGCTTCCCCCGTGTAACCATTTTCTAAGGTGCGATGGTGAACAAGGCAGTAAAACCCTGGTAGGGCCTCAAGAAACACAGTTTCCACCAGTATATTAAAACCTGGGTTGGGCAGTTTTGGTAAATGACTCACCAAAACCAACCTGGCAGTCTGTGGCTGACTTCTGCTCACATCGTGGCACACCACCAAGGACCAGAAGAGCCGCACGTGGCAAACAGCTGAGTGTGTGCTGCATATGTTCCCGGCACCTGTGCACATCACCTCCCGACTCCTCCTGTGACCCATCCTGGGTGTTACGACCTTTTATAGTTCGGACACGAGAACCAAAGGGATAGAAAAGTGATGTAGCCAACACCATCAATCAGAAAGTGGCTGTCCCTAAGTTAGTCTGTCTAGATTAGTCTCTTCCTGTCCTATGTAGCAGAGTGTTAGTTTCCTGAAATCAAGTAGAATTTTAAAAATTTAGTTATACTTTTTGTTTCTGTTTTGAAACTTTTGAGAATGCTCAGGAAAGAATTTTTTTTTAGACAGGGTCTCGCTGTGTAGTTCAGGCTGGCCTTGAGGTCACTATGTAGCAGAGGCTGGCCTCGAACTCACAGTGATCCTCTCCTGTCGCCTCCTGAGTGCTGGGATTACAGGTGTGCGGCACCACACCCGACAGTTGCATTTTTAACGATGATTCTTAATGCTTTATTAATCCCTCTGTTCCTGAGATTTAAATTAAACTGATAAATATCGATAACTCATTTCATTGAAATCCTTAACAGACACATCACTTTGAATTACTGAATGACAGAAAATGTAGAGCCACCTTCAGCCCCTTAAGGAATCCTACCAATCTCTCATGAAACTAAAACAACACATAAAATTCACATTCAGGAAACTCTAAATATTTTCAGCTTAGTAACTAAGACAGTAATACAGTCACTGCACTGAAAGTATTACGATCCACTATAGAAAGCTAAAGCGTGAATTCTGTTTGTGTACTGTTTTCTTCTCCCATCTTCCTGTTATGTGAGTTCATGTCTTTTTTTTCTAGTTTATGTTATGATAGGGATTTTCTGCGTAGCATCGGCCATGAGCCTCTACAACTGTCTGGCTGCGCTGGTTCAGAAGATACCTTGTGGAAAATGCGCGTATGTATCTCTTATGGAGAGGGCCATGGTGCTGGCCTTTGAATGTAATACCATGCAATGAAAAGCAAGTGTTGTCTTAAGCCTGTACAGTCCAAGATACATTGGACCTTAGGCTGTTTCAATTTTTTTTGTGTGCGTGTGTCTTTTTGAGACAGGGTCTCGCTATGCAGTTCAGGCTGGCCTTGAGCTCACTTTGTAACCCAGGCTGGTCTCAAACTTGCGACAATCCTCCTGCCTCAGCCTCCCGAGTGCTGGGATTACAGGTGTGCACCACCACACCCGGCTTAGGCTGTTTCTTTTTTTTCTTTAGGCTGTTTCAATTAATGAAAATTAAATAAAATTTTTTAACATTTAAAATTTGGTACCTTGGTCTGAGATGTATTTCAAGGGTTTTATGGCTACTCTTTTGAGGCTGGTGGCTACTGTATCGGACAGCACGTTTCCATCAGCACAGACAGTTCCTGTCGGATTGATCATTATGTCTCATTTGTTTCATCTAAAACCAAAACTTCTTAGTTGATATATAACTGCTTCTTAAAATCAGTTAATGTTTGGCATTTCTTATATCAAATCAAGTGAGCTTTGTCTTTTATCTTGTATTTTATGTTGCATATGCTTAACTATTTCATCTTTTTTTAGGATTGCATGTCGTGACAAAAGCATTGAAGTGAGACTTATTTTTCTCTCTGCGCTGTGCATAGCAGTAGCTGTTGTTTGGGCTGTTTTTCGAAATGAGGATAGGTATGAACACTCAGTGTATTCTGTTGTAGGTTCAAGGATGGATTACTTTATCTCTGCCTTGATACTTACTTATTGTGATTATTGTAGAATTTTTTTGCTTTTATCCCAGAACACAAGCTACTATTTAAGTGAGCAAACCTTGTCCTAATGATTTGAACTCATATAGAGGAGGAAATAAGGGTTATGACTTAAACACGTAGATTTCCAAAATATTGTTAGTTATGGTATAACCACATGAGGGAGTATAGTCCAACTCAGAATTTTTCATTCTCTGTGAATCACTGTGCAGTGAAAATACATGCAGGATATATTTTTAAATTTAAAAAGCAAAGTACAAAAGAACATATAGATTATACTACCTTTCATGTTAAAAAGAAAAAGGTGTATAAGGTACCTGACAACTTACAGAGAGAAGATATAGAGGGTACCTGTCTTATGCAGGAAACACAACTGGAAACAAACACATACATGTGTAGGTTTATTTAATGGTTAATTAATAAAATGACTGATGCCCTAAACATTTCATGGCCTGGAATTTGGTAACCAAAGTTCGTACAACTTCCTCAGCTTCCTTCTGTGAGCATCAGTTGAGGATGATGTGTGTCAGTTTCTGGTAGTCAGTTACATCGCCATCACTGCTTTATGCCCAGCTGTCTGGACGCGTCTGAGCACAAGTGTCCTTTGTTGATAGCTGCCTTTCTAGAAAGAGACGTGTATCGGTTCAAAGATGAAAGACAAATGCGCTCTTGTAGCTGATGTATGGTCTCTGCATTAGCCTTTCAACTTTTTCTTAGTATCGTAGTATTCATTGTTTTACTAGGACAGTACATTGTTAAATGGGGAGACTAAGAGGGGCTTTTGTTGTTATCATACTTGCCTCTTATAATTAAGCAGTCAAATCATAGGAGTTGAATGGCATTACTTGAGAGATGTACTTCCTTTTTTAAAATTAAACATAACTGGATAAAACAATAGAGTATTCTCTTGTTGATTTTAGGTGGGCTTGGATTTTACAGGATATCTTGGGGATTGCCTTCTGTCTGAATTTAATTAAAACACTGAAGTTACCCAACTTCAAGGTAAAGTATAGTACTTTGCTAGTTAAAATAACTTTTTTTCTTTTCAAAACAACTTTATTAAAGTATAATTTGCATGTATAAAATGCATCCATTTTAAATATACTGCTTGTTGCAACTTTACAAATGTAGAACTGCACAGTCGCCATCCCGCTGAAGCTGCAGGGCCTTCCTGTGTTGAAAGCTGCCCTGGGGGCCTGCCTGCCACCCCGACCTCAGACAAGGGCCACCGCCGATTTGCTGACTAGAGTATTCTTAGTCATATCGTATGCGCAGTTCATAAAATTCTTCGGAGACTGAATTTCAGGGAAGAGCATCTCCTTGATTCAGTGATATTTTAAAAAAGAAATGGGACAGTACAGATAAAGGTTTTAATGATGTTTAAAGAACAAAAGTGCATATAGTAGTAACCAAAAAGAGCCTTTTAAAATAGTGTTCAAATGCACGTTCACATGTTTATTTGCACTTGCAAAATATTTAATCTCTACACTTAGACATGGGAAATTTGACCTTTAAATGTGTTTCTTTCTTCCACAGTCCTGTGTGATACTTCTAGGCCTTCTGCTCCTTTATGATGTGTTTTTTGTTTTCATAACACCATTCATCACAAAGGTATGACCGCGTTTTCTTTCTTTTTTTTTTTTTTTTGTTTTTGAGATAGGGTCTCGCTATGCAGTTCAGGCTGGCCTTACACTCATTTTGTAGCCCAGGCTGGTCTTGAACTCCACAACGATCCTCCTGCCTCAGCTTCCCCGAATGCTGGGATTACAGGTGTGAACCACCACGCCCAGCTTGGCTGTATTTTCTGAAGCCATGAGAAAACATGCTGAAAGATGAGCGTCCTAAACCTACTCCTAGATTATTTCTTGGGTGTTTGCCACCCAATTCTAAATTCTTTTAAGAGAATTGTCATTGAAAATTCAATTAGCCTTTTGATAGAGGGTATTTTCCAGCCTTTAATCCATTATGTTAGACAAAAAATGTCTACTGAATGATGTAAAGATGAGAACGTCTATTTTTTCTACCCTTTTAAAGGCAGTTTTTCTTACTCTAAGATAGTAAGTGTCTACTGTAGACAGTATGTAGACAACCAAACGTGAGAAGGAACGAGAGACAGGGTGAAGGGAAGAAACGAGAAACGTTATTGCCGCTTTCACGTCCGAGCTCCTAGGCCGAGACCAGGGCAGAGCGGCTGCTGGACGTTAGAAGGCCCAGACTGTGGCTCTCGCCCTCGCCGACCGAGCCAGGCTCCTGGCCCTTCCTGCTCCAGGCTCCCGGCCCACTCGGAGAGGACGCACGGCCAGCCTTCCACCCACCAGCACGTCAGTAGAAATCTTGTAGTTGCAACCGACAGAAGCCACCCAGAGCTTTCTACAAAGAAGCTCCCACCGCAGGGGCTATGCCTGGAGGCCAGGGCGGGGCTGGTGTCGGAACAGCTGGACCCAGGGCCACTGCGCCTTCTCGGAGCCAGGCCGCCTCCTTGGAGCCAGGCCGCCTCCTTAGCTGGCAGCCCGTAGCTCTCCCTGGCTTCTCATGAAGGAGAGGCGTGGCAAGCGTGGTCATCCTCCACCGTCTGTCCAGTTGGTCTCTGCCTCGGCCCTTTCCCCTCTTTACCCACTGCCCTCTGCTTTATTCTGAATTTTGATTTTTAAGATTTTGTTCCTTTTTCCTTTATCACTAACACATATTTAGCATTTGAAATTTACTGTTTGATTTTATCTTATTTTATTTTCACAGTGCTGGGGATTGAACCTAGGGCCCTGTTCATGCCAAGGAAGGGCTGTGCCACTGAGCTCTGCCCCTACGCCTGCTGGTTCTTTACCCATTCTTTAGACCCTGCCATCTATGAAATTGCTATACAAATCTGCACTTATGCTGGGAATAGTGGCACGGGCGGTGATCCAGCAATGGGGAAGCCGAAGCAGGAAGATTACAAGTTTGAATTTAGCTTGGGCATCATAGAAACTTAGTAAGACCCTATTTCAAAATAAAAAATAAAATAAAGGCTCAGGCCATAGCTCACTGTGAAGACCCTGAGTTCAGTCCCCACTGCTCCCCTCAAAAAACAACCCTGGACTTCTGGTAATTGCTGTAGGGCCTGGAACAAACTGTTGCAGTGCTAACGTGGCCACTGGGTAAGAAACAGAGCTTGCTGTCCACGCTGTTCTCCTCGCACTTTCTATGCCTTCATGAAGGAATGTTTGAGTCACTGACCTCACTGGCCACTAGTGGCCTAAAGAAAGCGCAGAGTCAGTATTGTGGGTGATAACTAATACTGGTCACTTGTTAAAGTACATTTTTAGTTCTATCTAAAGCTGTCCTGGCTTGTATCACTTTACTTCATTCAAAATAATGTTATAGCGTACTGTCTACAAAGCCATCCTGTAACCTAGCAGGCAGCCCATGGTCTGGGGCCCGTGTGCTGTCTAGCAGGATACCCACAGGCTGTAGCTAAACTTTTCAAAATAATTGTTCCGTGTAACTCTAGCATCGCTTTATGAATGCTGAACTTTTGTGCCAGCAATCCATTTCTGTTCCCTGCACATGAAATGTTTCATGATGGTAAAGGTGTGGAATAGTAATTAAAGGTGTCTTTTAGCTTGCTTGCTTTCTTCTGTGCCTGGGAAAATTTTTGTCTTTTTTCCCATCTTAGTTCCTGCTGATTAGGACAGTTATTTCTAGCAGTCTGACTCAGTGGAGAAAGCTGAAGTGCTCTTGGGAGTTCAGTCTTGATTTGTTTGTTTTTATGAGGCCTCAGTTTAGTAGTAATTAAAAATGAAAATCAAGTATTTAAGTGCCAGTCTGTACGGCTTTGACTGTAAATCTGATGAATTGCCTACGGGTTGCTATACGCCTGCCCCTGACCCGGACGTTAGGGGGCTTCTGGTGAGGGGTGCAGCTGCCCTGCAGGAGCCCAGCGCCGAGGGCCGGATACACACTGTGATGCGTTGCTCTTCCATGTATCCGTGTATCGAGGCACAGTGGTAGCTACTCAGATAGCTGTGACTGTATGGAGACCTCAGCGACGGTCTTCAGCAACATGATTTTCATAACTGCTGGAGAATGAGCCCGAGTGAACTCTTTATCTGGACGCTTGATCACCTGGGACTCTCCTATCAAGAGCCAGATCTGGTATTAGCTCATCTTGCCAGACCTCTGTGACTTAATCCTTCTCCTAACCCAAGCTGAACACAAAAGGATTTCTGCAGCTAGTGATTTTATCTTTCTCCTTGGCTCAGGTGTCAGTGAAATATAAACTTGAGTCTAAAAACACTCAAGCAATCCCTGCTGTGCACCCCACGCCCGCAGAAAACATGACAGCTAACCAACCACATTTTCCTAAAGTTAGCATTTGTGTATCTCCCTCCACCTGCTTTGCTGACGTCCTCACCACGCTGTGAAATGCAAAACGGGTGCTTCCTTGGCCTGCTACCTCAGAGCGTCTCCCGCAGATAGAAAGTCTGCCATCAGACAGGGAGGGAGACTCGGCGAAGGTAAATGTTTTGATTGGAACACGGAAAGCAGGCGGGGCTGAAATCAGACAGGAGGAGTGCGGCTGGAGCACTTTCTCAGGTTCGCTAGGGCTGAGTCTTCTCACACTTGGCTTCACCCTTTTATTATTGTGAACAACCAGAAGATCAAATGCGTATTATCCAAATAAAGTGACGCAAATCTGTTACAAAGGTAAATTTAAGAGATGTTAGTATGTCTCTCTTCTCTGATGTTGCTACAAATGACAAGAACTATAGTATGTTACATTATAAATAATTTAAAGTGCTTAGGCCAGGCAAGGTGGCACATGCCTATAGTTCTAGCATTAGGGAGGCTGAGGCAGGAGGATTGCTGCCAGTCTAAACTATACAGACAGACCGTCTCAAAAACAAAAAGTACTTAAAATGTATAACCCATTACGAAATTTAAAAGTACAGTCTAGAGTTTAAAGATGCTATTGAATAACCTGTGTGTGGCTTGTCCATCAGCTTGGGGTACTTACTGAGTTCTAATGGAGTGGGACAGTGTACTCAGTAAAGTTTGTCTCAGATAACTGCAGTTCTTCCCATCTACAGAGACCATTTTAGGAAAATAGCCATCTGTCCACAGCCCGTTTTCCTTCAGTTCACAGTGGCCATGTGCCAGGGGCCGTAAGTCCTTCTCAAACAGTGGCAGGTTGTTCTCCTGGCCTGACTGGACAGTTTCACCTTCTTTCTCCTTTTCAGAATGGGGAGAGTATCATGGTTGAACTTGCAGCCGGACCGTTTGGGAATACTGAAAAGGTAGGAATGAGCCTGGACGGCAGTGGCTGCCCAGTGTATGTGCGTCCTGCCAGTTGTGCTGCCTTCCTGTGTCATGTTAGTGCATGTGAAGGTATATAACACTTATTTCTCACAAAATGTAGCCCTTTTCTTAGTGACTAAATTATTAAACGCCTGTTGACTTGGGTTTCATCCTAGAATGATGGGAACTCTGTGGAAGCCACTGCTCAGCCCTCAGCTCCCCGTGAGAAAGTAAGGATTGTGTGTCAGAAGCGTTCCCGGGGCTTTAATCACACCCTCTGAGACAAGACTCTTCTGTGGGGAAAACCCAGGTTGCCAAAAAAATCTGTTTCAAGGCCTGAGTCCTATTCTTGGTAAAACTAAAACAGAAAAGAAAAGAAAAGGTTAGATATGGGGATAGTGGACTTGCACTGTCAATCCTTCATGGGTTGGGTTTCTTTTCCCCAAAACTACATGTGTGTTTCTCCCAAGCTTTCTGTACCTGCAGAGCACATATATATAACGTATATGTGTGTGTGTGTATATGCGTAGATGTATGACCGGATTTATACCCTCCGATTTGAAGGGTTTTTTTAAACTCATTTTAAAAATGTTAAAACGAGGATTGTAATGTTCGTCCTTCCCTTCCTAGAGCGGCGCTGGGGAGAGGCTCACCGGTGGCCTTTCCTTCTTTCTCTTTCTGTCTTCCTTCTCCCCTCCAGTTACCGGTCGTCATCAGGGTGCCAAAGCTGATCTATTTCTCAGTAATGAGCGTGTGCCTCATGCCTGTCTCCATCTTGGGCTTCGGAGACATTATCGTACCGGGTGAGTGATTGCGACAGAACCGGCGGCGGCGGCTTGTAGTCGTCACAGCTGCGGTGTCTGTCACAAGTCGCCGGCTCCGTGCTGAGTATTTCTGGCTGTTGCTAGAGCTGGGGTCAGCGCTGAGGAAGAAAGGGAGCTTTTCTGAGAGGTGGAGGATTCGCGCAAACGGCAACAGCAACATAAAGCATCCCTGGCTCACAAGAGCCTGAAGGAAAGCAGCTAGGGTCAGCTTCGCCTTCTCTCCCGATCAGGGTATTCCGCGAGTCTTTTTGTTTTGTTTTGTTTTTGTTTTTCTCCGGTACCGGGAACCGAACTCACGACCTTGCGCTTGCCAGGCAGGCGCTTTGCCGCTGAGCTAAATCCCCAGCCCCCCGCGAGTCTTTGTAAACGTTGAAAATAACAGTACCGAACATACAGCCTGTCTTGCTTCCATTTTATAATAGTCGTGTTCTAGGGAGTAGTTCCAGGATACTAGGCAAGGTTATGTGCAGAGGGAAAGCTAGAACGCCAGCGTTGTTTGGCTTTCTATTTTTTTGTTGTACCGGGAATCAAACGCATGACCTCAGGCTTGCCAGGCAAGCGCTCATGCCGCTGAGCTACATCCCCTGCCGTGTGGCCTTCTAATCCAAACCGGGAGTTTGTAGGGAAACAGGTTGCCTGCTCCCGACAGCGATGGCAGTGCTGCCTGATTTCCCCACAGGCTCTCTGTGGGATGGAATTGCAACTGCCTGAAGGCAGGCACCAGCCTCACAAGGTGAGGCAGCAGGAGAGGGGCCAGGGCTCCCTGTGTGCCCCTGTGGGTTATGATGGCAAGCGAGTGGCTCGGTGGACCGACTAAGCCAATGTCCAGAGAAAGGTTAAACCCTCCAGGAAGGTTGTGCTGGGGGCCGCGTGCATTGAGGACACCTGTAGACCTGTGAGGAGGCTGGCTATTAAGGGACAGAAACATTTTGAACTAGGAGGAAATAAGAGAAAGGGTGGGGAGACCCAGTTTTAAGCTTCACCTGTGTTTCCTTATGCCGACAATGAAATCTTGAGGTTCCTTTCCTAAGAAACAGTACTGTTTTAAAGGATTAGCAGTCTTTCCCTGTCAGCTGAGTGTGGCCTCGTGCTTTGGTTTCTTCCGTGTCCTGTGGGTTGACTGCTTTTGCGCGGGGGAAGAGTGCGGCCTCTCTGCAAAGGCCCTTCTGTCTCCAGAGTAAAGAGGGGTAAAGAGGGAGGCCGACTCTGCTGCCCTGGGATCGGCCCAGCAAGTCAGCTCAGGGAGTCTCCACTCCTGTCAGGGACATGGGAGGGGACGTGCTCCACGTCAGCTGCAGTTCCCGCAGCATCTCTAACCTCGCTCCTCACCTTCCCACTGCCGCGCTGCGGGCTGTGTAAGATCTCCTGTGTAGCCCCTGGCGTAGAACAAGTAAAACTCACACATAAGTATTCTGTTTTTAAAGTAAACGTCAGAGGTCTCAACAGAAATATGTCCCCACAGGGCAGAGTTAACAGTACATGATTTAATGTTAAGAGCTGCGTTCTGTTTTTCTGTGCCTGGGTTATTTCGTTTAACATAATGCCCTCCAGGCTTGTCCATGTTGTTACAAGTGATAGAATGTCATTCTTTCCTATTTTTTATTTTTTATTTTAAAGAGAAAAAAAATAAAAATAGTAATAAAACAGTTTCAAAACGCAAACAGGTATGGAGGAAAGTTACAGTAATTAATATATTGGGTGTCTTTGTCTTTTTAGTAGTTATTCAGGGTACAAGATACAGGCATGATAGCTTGTTTAAACAATATTAGCACAAACCTTTCTTTTCAGTGAACGAGAGAAACTAACTGTGTAACTATCTTAACTCTTTTGAGGTACTTTAATGATCTACTGCAAAAAGGAAAGTTAAACATATACTGTTGTCCAGGGGGCTGGGGATTTAGCTCAGCGGCAAAGCGCCTGCCTGGCAAGCGCGAGGTCGTGAGTTCGGTTCCCGGTACCGGAGAAAAACCATATACTGTTGTCCACAGTTGGATTTATATTGCTGTTATTGTTTTAAGACAGTAACGTGGAGAATATTTTTGTTTTTCTAGGCCTGTTAATTGCATACTGTAGAAGATTTGATGTTCAAACTGGTTCTTCTTCTATATACTACATTTCTTCCACAATTGGTAAAGTTATTTCTTCTTCTTTTTCTGTGTGAGTATGTGAGCATTGTTTTGTCTAGAGGAAAAATACAGAAGTATAAAAATAATAAGTCCTGGATTTTGCTTACTTGCCATACGTTTTTCCATCAAAAAGAGATAATTATACCTTATTTATATTATAAGGTCTTAGAGGCTTGGAAAAGAAAATCAGATGTGGAGAAAACGAATTAGGTTCTATAGGTAATGTTTATCAAAATATCTGATTCATAAATAGCCAGTAAATTGTGTATTACTAGATTTTTTTAAAAATAGCATATGAATAGTTATGTATTTATAGAAATTAATTTATGGCACAATTACATTTCAGTTAAGACAGCAGGAGTAGTCACTTATGCCTCTATTTCTATTATTGAGTAAAGAGTCAATTACAGGAAATAAGCCAAAAAATACCCTCCTGCTTCTGCACATACCACACGGATCTGAGCCCACAGCCCCAAGCTCTTGGTGCTTAGGCAGGTGATGGCCCCAGGGCCCTTTCTTACTGGTCCAGCCGGCTTTCACGTGCCCTGTGGAATTCAGCCTAGCCACTGAAAAGTGTGCGTTACTGCTGGAGACGGCTGTTCCCGGAAACGGATGCACTCCCAGCACCAGAGAACAGCTAAGTGAGGAGAAGATGGGCAAAGAAAACAAGGAAAGCAGCGGGAGGCCATCAGTTACGGTGTCAGGAAGGGCGTTACCTCCTTAGAGCCTGGCACCAGCCAGTGTGGGGGGTGAGGGGCTCCGGGGAAGGCAGAAGAGAGGAGTGCCCTGGACTTAGCTGTGTAACATGGGCAGCTCAGCCCCCCTCCCCAGCCCCCGCTGCCTCAGCGTCGGCTCGAGTAGTTAGTAAGACTCACTGATCTGAAGGCACTACAGCTCCCGCAGTCTGGGATCCTGTGTCCTTAGGAGAGGTCAGGTGATGTCTGGTGTGTGCTTACTAAAGAAGCCTAGGAAGGATAGAATGCACACTGGGAAGATTTTTCAGAGCAGCCTTTACTTTGTACTTACAGGTGCAGATCTAGTTACCTAACATGTAGAACACCTTTAGTTACCTTCACCCATGATAAAGGCTTAGGTTGAAATAGTAACTAGTTTCCAAATTCATCAGAAGCTCTGTGAAATATTTTTCTTCGGATATTTGTCTGAGGAAAACAATGAAATTATGGTAAGAGGTCATGTTGTACAAATGTCTTCAGAAATATTTGAAAGTCGATAGGCTCGTAGGGGAGGGAAGCCGTCCCTTGGGTAGCAGGGAGAAGTGACCGGACCCTGGTGCTCTTGCAGCCTATGCCATTGGCATGGTCCTCACCTTCGCTGTTCTGGTGCTGATGAAGAAGGGCCAGCCCGCGCTCCTCTACTTAGTGCCCTGCACGCTCGTTACTGCCTCCGTTGTCGCCTGGAGACGGAAGGAAATGAAGAAATTCTGGAAGGGCAGCAGCTATCAGGTGCGTGCTCACAGCGCTCCCTGATGAGTGGGAACAGCCGGTATGTATCAGAGCTGTGGGAGGAAAACTCACCGTAGGTCTGCCAGGTGCAACATCGGCTCTTAGGGAACTAAGACAGCATCTCATGTACACTTGCAAAATCCTCATTAAAGTGCCAGGCAGGGTGCGCACGCCTCCAGTCCCAGCACTCGGGAGGCTGAGGCAGGAGGATCGTTGTGAGTTTGAGGCCGGCCTGAGTTCAAGGCCAGTCTGAACTGCATGGTCAGACCCTGTCTCCAAAAAACCAAAACCCTCATTAAAGTAAACTTGAGGAAGATGGAACTGGAGTTTGAGACTGACTTTAGCCATGGACAGAAAGAGTCCTAAGGTTTTACAGGTAAATATTTTATATATATATTCTCTCCAGCATCTGAATGCACCTCACCAGGGCACCCATTTAGATTGAGATGAAACAAGATGTCCTTTCTGTAAAATCCCTGAGACAAAGAAAGTCTGGATACCAGGGCTGTGGTTTGAGTTCTTCCTTCTTGGAGTTAAACCCCTTCTTTCTTTCCCTCATGTCCTTTGTGTTCTGGCGAAGCCTTTTCATGCTGAAGTGAAGCGGGGGTGGGAAACTGCTCTGCGCGGGGGTCCGGGCCGCACTGGCCCCTGCGAGGGCAGCTCGGGGACCGTGATGGGGACGGCGGGCGTCTGTGTCTGAGGGAGGCGCAGGCTGCGGCTGTCACTGGAGGAGCAGTTCCAAGTCCGTGTGCCCTTCGGCGCTCTATGCAGCGTCTCTCGCAGCGTCATTTAATGACAGGTAGTCAACGTGTCGTCTTGGAGCTGGGAAGGGCACTGGCTTACGTTCTTTCAGGTAAACCACGCCATTTCCTGAGATTTGCATAAAATAATAATACCCGCCTTGCCTGCGGCAGGGTTGCTGTCCCCTCTTGTGTTCATGCACAAAGAACTCGTTTACGGCCACAGGTCCTGGGTAAACTAGGACGGTAACTCTTAACGTTTGCATGAAGGCGATGTGCACGTAGGTTTAGTTGCTCTTGGTTTTTGCTTTTTCTGGCTCAGGATCAAACTCAGGGCCTCACACTTGCTAGGCAAACACCATTTTTTTTTTTTTTTTTTTTTTTTTTTTGGTTTTTCTGGTTTTTCTCCAGTACCGGGAACCGAACTCGCGACCTTGCGCTTGCCAGGCAGGCGCTTTGCCGGTGAGCTAAATCCCCAGCCCAAGCACCATTTTTTATATTTATAGATTTCTTAAAAATTGAAGTGTATCCTACAGCACACACTGTGCTAATAGCCTTTGCATATCACATCCTGAAAAGGACTCACTGCCTTGTTTTTTTTCCACTATGTATCCTAGGATAACCTTGAACTCACAGCAATCCTTCTGCCTCAGCCTCCGGAGTGCTGCGATTATAGGCATGCACCACCACACCCAGCAAGGATCATTATCATTTTATTAGTTTTATATTTCTTCACTGAACAGATGTTTATTGAGCAGGTCTGTGAATTAGGAAGCATTTTAGATCTGCTGATAGAAGATGAAGTGACACACGGGCCTATTCCCATGGCCTCTGCAAAGTTCCAGCCGAGTAGGGAAAAGCCAGGTGGTGTCACTAGCAATGTGACAAAGGATGGTGGGGAGGGCGCCACGAGCCGCAGAAGGGCCGCGGTGTCTGTGGATTCCCGTCAGGGTCACGGTGCCTTGGGAAAGCTCCCGTAAGGACGCTGAATGAGAGCTGGCGCTGCACGGGCTGAGCGGCGGGTTGTGTGGCAGGCGCTGTGTCCTCACAGGCTCCTGGGAGGGTCGGGCACTCGGAGCTGGGCGGAGCTTAAGATGGGTGTGGCATGGAGTAGGCCAGGAGGTGAAAATGAGGGAAGCAGGCAGGAAGGTCTCACTGGGTCTCGGGGGCCACGTTAAAGCAAAGTGGGCCAGGTCAAGAGAAATGCAGGGCATTGTCCGTGGGAGAGGAAAGGGGGCGTGCAATGTTACAGCAGGGAGAGCAGCAGGTTTGGGGAGGAAGGTGATGAATTCAGTGTTGGACAATTTAAGTGCTGGATGTGAATTTGGAGTTGGACGTTCCAGAGTACCTATAGAATACAGGAAGAGACAGTATGAGGTGTGGTCAAAATACATGGTGAATCTTTTAAAAATTTTTACAAGCCAGGTGTGATAGTGCATGCCTATAACCCCAGCACATGGAGGCTGAGGCAGGAGGGTTACTGTGAGTTTGGGGCCAGCCTGGACTACTGCGTTTCAAGGCCAGCCTGAATTATAGAGTAAGAGCCTATCGCAAAAAATACATTGCCATGAATCCCCTTCAAAAATGCCCCTACTTTTTTTTTTTTTTTTTTTTGTCGTTTTGAGACAGGGTCTCGCTGTGCAGTTCAGGCTGGCCTTGAGCTCACTTTGTGGCCCAGGCTGGTCTCAAACGCGAAACAGTCCTCCTGCCTCAGCCTCCCAAGTGCTGGGATTACAGGTGTGCACCACCATGCCCAGCACATCTCACCACTTTCTGAAACAGTTCTGGAGTCCTCTTTCCTGAGTGTCTTTCGGAGGTATGATCCAAAATACGGTGAATGCTGCTGCCACGTGCCATCCAACAGGAAGGCAGCTTCATAAAAACACGATGCCATGTCCTCGCCCACTTTCTTCACGGGGTCTGGCGCTGTGCAGCTCTGCCTCTTCCCCAAAGTCAAAATGACCCTGAAAGGGAAAAGCTGTGAATTGATTCAGAACACCAAGGCAGCCAGGACAGTCAGCTGAAGACCCTCAGGAAAGGGGACTCCAGAGCTGCTGCAGAAAGCGGCAAGAACAGCGGGATGCGTGGGTTCCAAGTGAGGGGAGGAGTTCGAGAGAAAGTGATGGCAATTATTTACTGTTGTAATTTTTAAAAATGTAAACATGCTCCCCAATCCTAGCCCATCATGGAGTAACTGGGTCTGTGGGCTGGAGACAGACCTGGCTGCAGGTGGCATGTGGGGTGTCCGGAGCACAGGAGGTGGGTGAGGGCGCAGAGGAAAAGCAGGACCTGGGACAGGCTGGCCGCAAGAGTGTCCACCACTCAGGACTCTTACGGACTGTGAGGGAAGTCAGGATAGGAAGAACATGTTATGGGCTTGTTGTTTAGGGTTGGCACGAAATCTTAACTTAGAATTTAAATCTGGGGCTGTTAGAGAATCTCATGCTTCTTGTCATTTTCATCACCATTTTATTTTTACTTATGAAAAAGTGCTTTCCCTGCAATGCGGCTCTTACATATTTTGGTGGGGTTTTTTGGTTTTTTTCTTTTCTTTTGTTGGTTTTTTTTTCCGGTACCGGGAATCAAACTCAACGACCTTGCGCTTGCCAGGCAGGCGCTGTGCCGCTAAGCTAAATCCCCAGCCCCTGCATTTTGTTATAAAAGTAGGTGCTCACTCTAGAAGATTAGGAAAATGTAAAAAATACAGGAAAATCAAACCCACCGCTAGTCCTGCCACCTGGAGACAGCTCGGTTGAGGGGTTCCTCAGGCCTCTGCAGGGAGTGCACGGGCAGCTGCATGATGCCCCTAGTAGCTCCGAGCTTGCTTTGTCAGTGCATTTTCATTTCAGATTCCTGTAAAAATCACTGTAGTGGCTGTGTAATGTTCCCTCCTGGGCATGTACCAAACTGCACTATTTACTTTGACCCAGAAATCTCTCTTTAAGAGGTTCTCCAGAAAGTAATTGAAACTGTGGCCAAAACTGATGTGAACAGTTGTTCATGCCAGTATTTCTGGTCTTCTTGTTCTGTTTTAATGATGTATAGGTTAATATTATTGGCTGTTCATCTAAAAACCTAAAATCTTCATGCAGGCTCCAACCTTGTTTTCACTTCAATAATCTCTCTGTGCATTGTAAAGTTATAAAGTAATACATATTTGCATTTTTAATCAAGAACACAGAAGTGTTTAAAAGTGGAGCCTCTTTTCCAACCACCCGTTACCTCTCCCACCCCTGAAAAGGATTGACCAACTGGGCACAGTGGGGCACAGCTTAATCCCAGCTACTTGGGAAGCTGAGGCAGGAAGATCTCAAATTCAAGGCCACCCTACACAACTCAATGAGATCCTGTCTCAGAAAATCAAAAGGTCTGGGGCAGGGCAGAGTAGCTCAGTGTTCCCTGGGTTTGGTCCCTAGTCCCACAAATGAGGGTGGGGTGGGGACAGCTATTGTGAATAGTTTATGTGTAGTTTCTCTCTGTTTGTGTCAGCTTACGCCAGAACCAGTTGAATATTTAGGGCTGTTCTATTACTTTGATGAATTAACACTATATTTCTCTGAAATTCTCCATAGTTCATTTATGTCTGTGCTTGATTCTAGCACCTTTCTTGCTTACTAGAGTCCTAGGTTTGATCTCCAGCACCACCAAGAGAAAAATAAAAAACTACAGCTAGGAGTTTGAGGCCAACCTGAGCTGCAGAGTGAGTTTGAGGCCAGCCTGAGCTGCATGGCAAGACCCTGTCTAAAAAAAAAAACCTCCCAAAATATATTTGCTATTAGTTATAGGGCTGAGAGTTTTGTTTTGATTTGTTGGTTCAGTTGTTATTTTTCAATTCATTAACTAGGTTTTCATTTTCCTAGTTTAAATATTACAACTTTGAATTTCTGTTAAATCTGGTTTCTTTAACTTATTTGTAAGAGGAAAAAATCCTAAGTCATCAGAAGCCCCAGAGAAAAAATTGTTTAAACTCAGCTATTCTTCCACTGTATACCAAATTTTAAAATAATTAAGAACAGAAATTTGCTGAAATTTTAGGCAATTCAGTCACAAAGCATTAAAAATTATTGTTAGGAGAGAGTGCATTTTCCCAGAAAACTAGCATTTTTGAAAGCTATATAATATAATACCTTCATAAAATGATTTCCCTGTTCACGTGGCAAAGAAAACTCTTATTGCTTGTGTCAAAACTTACAGTCAAAATTAGTTGTTTTCTGTTATTTGTGAGTAAAAGTATATTCTAGTGGGATTTGAGGGGTTGTTTCTTTATTTTGAGACAGGATCTCACTGTGTAGTCCAGGTTGCCTTGAACTCACTATGCAGCCTAGGCTGGCCTCCGGTTTGGGGCAGTCCTGCCTCAGCCTCCCAAGTGCTAGGATTACAGGCGTGTACCAGCATGCCTGCCCATTAGCGTGTTTACCATTCTGGCAAATTATTTAATCTCTGAGGACTCTGTCTCCTTGTTCATAAAATGAAATTGAATTTTCAAAACAAAAAAGTTGCATCAAGTGACTTACTAGTCCACGTGTCAAAGTAATTATGACTCTGCGTGATGTTTCTCTCAAGAGAAAAAAATCCTTATTTATTTATTCCACACTAATTAAAACTAAAGCTTACTGGAAAATCAAATCAATGGAACTGAGTACTGTGGCCCTTGAAACCCTCCAGAATAAAAGGTCACAGAAATACAGGGCAACTAGCCATGAGCTGTGGAAAAGAATTTGCAGTTAAGATTTCCAAACCAGGCGTGGTGGCACACGCCTGTAATCCCAGCACTCAGGAGGCTGAGGCAGGATCATTGCGAGTTCGAGACCAGCCTGGGTTACAAAGTGAGCTCAAGGCCAGCCTGAACTGCATAGCGAGACCTGTCTCAAAAAAAAAAAAGAAAAAAGATTTCCAAATCTGTAGTATTCTAATGAATTATAGAACTGTGTAGTTCTAATCTGTACTATCCTAATGAATTATAGAACTGTATAGTTCTAATCTGTAGTACCCTGATGAGTTGTTGACCTGTTGCTACTTTTGATCAGAGAAATGTATAGGAAATTCCCAAAGACTCCAAGACAAATGCTCCAGTGTTTCTACGAAGTCTCCCCTTTAGGGCAAGACAGGAGGGACAGTTTGCCCAATGAAAAAGGCATAAGCCCACGTCAGCACACCAGGGACACTAAGGACGTCTCTGTCCGCAACATGGGGAGCCAGTATATCGGGTTCCGAGTTCTCCGCTTTGGATCTGAGCCGTGATGCCTCTGCATAAGGAAACGTCCCAGGGTGGGGCCTAGCCGACACAGGAAATTCATTCAGGTTTCATAACAACGGTCTGCTTTCAGGTGGTTTTGCGTAGTACCTCCCGCGCACCCTTGCCACAAGGTCAGCTGTGGAATTTTCTACCTGTGTGAGGTTGTCACTCAGAAAGCTTGGGGTGCTAGAGTATTCCATAGTTTGGATTTTTGGATTAGGAAATCTCAACCTGTACCTCAACAATTTCTCTCTCTTTTTGGTACTGGGGATTGAACCCAGGGTATTCTACAGCCCAGCCCCTCTTTCATTTTTATTTTGAACCAGGGTTTTGCTAAATTTGCCCAGGCTGGCCTCAAAGTTATAGTCTTGCTGCCTCAGCCTCCTAGCATGCTGGGATTACGGGTGTGCACTACTATACCTGGTCTCTCACTTTATTTTATATAGCTTATTTTATCTTTGATTACTCCAAAATAATAGCAAAAATGTTGGTACTTACAAAAATGACTTTCTGTTTATTTATTTATTTTTTGGTCTTTTTAAGACAGGATCTCGCTATGCAGTTCAGGCTGGCCTTGAGTTCACTTTGTAGCCCAGGCTGGTCTCGAACTCACAACGATCCTCCTGCCTCAGCCTCCAGAGTGCTGGGATTACAGGCGTGCGCCACCCCTCCCGGCCTAAATGACTTTCTAAAGACTCTAGAGATATAAGTTTAGTTCAGTGTTATATGGGTTTTTTGTTGTTGTTTTGTTGTTGTTTGGTTTGGTTTGGTTTGGGTTGGGTTTTTTGAGATAGGGTCTCAATATGTAGTTCAGACTCCCTACGTAGCCCAGGCTGGCCTCAAACTTGTGCTGACCCTCCTGCCTCAGCCTCCTGAGTGCTGGGATATAGGCATGTGCCACCACACCCGGCTAGTTTAATGTTTTAAAAGTGCTTCACTTAAAATAGCATATGACAATCATGACCATCTTATGAGGACTGCAAAACATAATTAGGAGGCGGGTGCGTGCACTTAAGTGTCTAGCAGCTTGGGTACTAGCTGGGGCATTACAGCTGTACCTTGCCTCGTCCCGCGCAGCTCTCCAAATTCCCAGGGAGAGGACCCTGAGAGGATGGGAAAAAGGCCAAGAGTCAGAATACAGAAATCAGGCCGGATGGAGCCCCGCTCCTGATGGAAGGGAAGGAAGGGAGAAGAAAGGAGAACCAGGAGCGAGGGCCTGGCTGCAGCGCGTTGGGTTATCCGCTAGCTCGGGGTTGACTGTCACGCGAACCCCGCCGCCTGACAGCCTGTCCCCGCGGCTGGCCTCACGCCCCGAGTTCCCGAGGCTGGAGCCCGGATTCCTGCAGCCCTGGGCCCTGCGTGTGACCCCGCCGCTCCCGCGGCCGCACCCCGGGGCCTTAGGAAGGGCGGAGCGGGCAGAGCGGCAAGGAGAGCGGGTGTCGTCCAGGTCCGAGGGGCAGCGAGCCCGGCCTCACCGCGGGACCTCATCGCGCCGGGGTCGCTGGGAGAAGGCGGCTTCGAGCTGGGTGGAGAGAAGAGCCGTTCTGGAGGTGGAGAGGACGCAGAGGCTTCTCGCGGCGGCCAGGCCAGGACCAGGGCCGCCCGCGCCTGCCCCGGCGCCC